ACGCCCTGTCCGGGGGGGGTTTATAAATTCATGAAAATGTCCGGGTTTCGCGGACGGTTTGCATGTACTTAAATTGACTGGCGAATTGCACAGAATACTACGGTACTCTGTTGCGTGGTGACGTAATAATCCCTGAGTCTGAAGCTTTGTGGGCGGCTCTACAACTACGCTGACACACAAACAGAGGAAGGGGACAGAGCGGACCGCCGCTCACATTCACAATGCCAAAGCGCAAATGTACTTTTACAGATGAATTGCAGAAGAAATTCCAAATGTACCGGCCCGGTCGGAACAAATGGGAGGCGGAGTGCACCGTGTGCAAAGCTTGCACATACGTGTGTGTGTCCAATAAAGGTGCAGGCGATCTTAAAGCGCACATGGACACAGACAAACATAGGAAAGCTGTGCAAGGTGAGAGTTTGCCGGCAAAGTTGACAGACTTCTTTGTTAGACCAGGCAAAACAAAGGATGCTGTAAATGCAGCGGAGGGTGCGTTTGCATTTCACACTGTGAAACATCACAACAGCTACAGATCTATGGATTGCACAAGTGCCTTGCTAAAAAAAGCATTTCCAGACTCTGACACTGAAAGGGGGTCCAGAGCACGCTTGCGTCGTTTATTCAGTCACTTCAGACATGACGCTGGTCATAGTTACAGAAAGTTAACATAACGTGTTTATCTTAGGGAAGTCACTGAGTTGTCGTCGACCAAGGAGATGTGTATATTATGTGTGTGTTGACGTAGTGCATCTTTTTGGGTCCGTAAGAGTTGTGGATACAGTAACTGTCTGTATGTGTCGTGCTTTGTGGTTCTTTCCATTTGTTGTCGAATTTTTTCCGAAAGTTTTTTACCAGGTGAAGACCACGTGGACGTCCGGTGACTTGATTGTTGTGTGTTCCAACGTTGGAAAGACACTTATGTTTAGAAGTCTAACCACTGGACCAGTTTGTGTTATTTTTTTTACTGTAGGTTATGGTTTTTTTAATGGTGGTGTGTGGGAAAGAGAAAGCGGAAGAGAGGATCCTTGAAACTACGTCCGAAGGTGTAGTAAGGTGAAGACCACCGAAATGTATGTGAGACCACCGAGTGAGTCTAGGTAGTGCACTTTACACCATCTTGAGAAGGTACCCTCAGTAGGTGAAGAGGTTATTGAGGTCTGTACATGACATGTCCGGAACCGTGTAGTCGTGTCTTGACCCAGTAACTAAGGAATGGTTCAGTTAGTGAGTGCGAAAACACGGTCATTCAGGGAATTGAAATTCCCTGTACTTCAACAACGGTGAACGCAAGTTCTCTTACCACACCTACGACAAGTAATAAAAGAAAGGAGGTATTACCTAAGAAGAGGAAAGGTACAGAACTTACACCCACAGCCTTACGTCTGTACTCACTCCCACGTACACGGTCTCCATCTAGAGTGACTTAAGCAAATGTTTTTTGAAGAACTATTTGACACCCACCAAAAACGACTCTGTCTTTCTACAGAAATTCCGACCTGTAGACATAGTAGGAGAGTTACGGACCTGGTTACTGTCGGTGGAACAGAACGACACTCTTTCGTAGGGAAGACATTAAGTTACAGTTGTTTTAGTTCATGTACGGAAGTCCGTTAGAGGGTCACGCGTGCACATTTACACCTTCTTGACATCTAAAACTTGTACTATAAGGAGTTTCCAGTTATAGTAAAACATGACGGGGTACTACTTTGTTAATAAAAGTTATACACACGACCCGTTGGGTGTGGCTATCCTCACAAGAAGTTTACGTCGTTGGAGAAGTTTAAACGTGACGTTTGTGAAGAAAGGGGAATAGGCAGCCTAAGGGAGGTAAACACAACGGTTAACAGGCGGTCATTTACGTTACGTTAAAAAGTCTGTTTAACAAAAAACGGTTACAAAGTTACTCTATAACACGTTACAAAGACGACAGAGTAAAACCACACAGTAATTTGGCTATTAACACAAACGTACCGGTCGGGACGAAGGTCGTGCAGTTCATGTGACCTAATTGCTAACCCTTATGTAAAAGTTGACGCGAGGCACCAAAAATGGAGGGCAGACATCTTTGTGGTGTCATGACCTAAAGGAAACTCACACGAAAGTCACGGCTGTAGTTAGCTCGCACCCGTCGATACTGTGCGTAACTGTTATCCGAAGCCAAAATCACGCCGGACGGTCGATTGACTTA